TTGAAACTAAATCCTGATAAATTCAGAGGTGCAAGTAAAAGACCGAACACGCATTAAACCTTCGACCAGGCCGCTGGATTCCGCTTTTTGGGCCGGCGGGTAGATTCTTACAATATGATACAGATAATAAATTTTACACTGTTCTGGAAAATAATGATTCCTTATCGCATCTAAAGTGGTTTCTTGCTCTTGCTCTTCAAATGGGTTGCCATTTCCCTATCATAATCTTCTTCTCCCACGTCTGTAAACAGTTTGTGATTGATATCCAGCACCCTACAGTACAACCAATGAACAGAAGGCATTTGATTACTGTGGTGTAGCTTTTTCTCAGCCAGAGGATAAAGTCCTAATAACCCATTTTCAGACATTTCCCAGTCCTGGTCAAAGTAAAACAAAAAACACATACAATTCAAATGAAGCTGTTTAATGGACAGTCAGCTTTTTCTTTGAAGACAGCATCCTCTTCTTTCACTCCTTTCAAAAGCATCACTTGGTCAAAACTGTTCATTTGCCTGATGAGATCATCTGTACAAACTACAAAGTAAAATTGTTAAAATACTGCAATACAAATTTCATTATGCAAGAATTAAAAAAAAGTTACAGAGGCACAGGACTTGCTCATGAAACACCCATTACCATGTGTTGTTCTCAGAGATTGGAGTTTTTTTAACCTCTATAGTTTCTATTGCTGTAGTATCTATTGCTGCACTAAATGTCTTTTTCTTCTAAAATCTTTCTCCAAAGTTCATGCCTGTGAGATTGAAAAGCAGAATTTAATTTAATTTATGCATTTAGCAGATGCTTTTACGCGACTTACAGTGCATTCAGGTTATACATTTTTTTACCAGTATGTGTGTTCCCTGGGATTCAAACCCACAACCTTTTGAATTGCTAACGCAATGCTCTACCACTGAGCCACAGGAACACAGAACACTCTGTGTCCGCTGTGTCTGCTGTGCTTTTGCTGACCTGGCTATATTTTTGGGACATAGACATTACATACCACTGCCATATTGGGATATTTTAGCTCTTGCTACATTTCTTTATTGCTCAATATTTAACTTCTGCTTGACTTTGCATACTCTATATATATGCCTCGCATAAACCAATAAACTGAACCTAGATTGAACTGCACTTGTGTCTGTTTCAATATGGGCTCCCGGGTACCTGTCTCCCCTGCTCCGCAGCCCAACCAGATAATCAGATAACCACTTCGGATATCTACAATTAGTTAAAATACATTTATTTTTTACAATGCTTTCTCTTGCTTCCATCTTAAAGCACAAATGTGTTTTAGTCTGTGCAGTGTAAGGTTATTACACCTTTGCAGTTCAATTATTATTATACTCCTTAGATAATTATATTCCTTAGAGAAAAATGGTATCTTTGAGGATTTCCAGTCAGCATTTAGACTGTATCATAGTACTGAGACTACTCTCATTAGAGTTACAAATGACCTGCTCTTATCATCTGATTGTGGTTGTATCTCTCTATTAGTGCTACTGGATCTTAGGGCTGCGTTCGACACTATTGACCACAACATTCTTTTGAATAGACTAGAAAACTTTGTTTGCATTAATGGAAGTGCATTAGCATGCTTCAAATCGTACTTATCTGACTGCCATCAATTCGCAGCAGTGAATGAAGAGGTATCAGTAAGAGGCAGTATGGAATACCTCAAGGCTCAGTACTAGGGCCGTTACTTTTCACGCTTTACATGTTACCCTTGGGAGATATCATCAGGAAACACGGTG